AAAATCTCCCCCACCCATTAATACGGCTGATGATTAGTTGTTAAAATGAATCCTACCATTGATTTTATAATATTGGACGGGTGAGATGATTTTTTATATTGTAAGGGAAGCATACTTTGTATCCGATCTCAACCCTATATATATATATATATATATATATATATATATATATATATATATATATATATATATATATATATAGGAGATATATACAGGAGATCAAATACAAACCATGCTTAAAATACTAACCTACAAACTCAATAATATGCAACACTTTGAACTATAATATGCAGTACAAATAATGTGAAGATGCACAGTTTGTGACAGTTTGTAGGTTAGCATGAGAGAAATAGTTTGTATGTGATCTCACCCCTATATATATGTATATATATCCCCTATATAGAATAGAGATCAAATACAAACCATGCTTAATTTACAAAGTACAAACTTATCTTGGTCATTCGATGAATTGATCTAAAGGATATAAAGGCAAGGTGGCATTTTTGTAAAACCTAACTTTTCTAGGGTGTAACTCATTGAATGTTAATGTGCAACTGCTATTTTATGACTATATAACATGCAACACTTTGAACCTCAATATGCAATGCAAATAACGTCAAGGTGCATCATACAAATATTTGCACAATAAGCACAGTTTGTACTTGATCTTTCCCACATATATATAAATACACACACACGTGTGCACACAACATTAGTTATGACTCAATAAACAAACAAAAATTACAATTAACTAATATTATCTCATAACTAATATGACTATAGTTAATCAATATCCATTTATCTATGGGATGCATTTTGTGTGTGTTGAATGCTATGGAAACTGGAAAGTTTCTCTCTATGGTTTATATATAAATGTAAAAGATTAAATTATATTACCATAGTAAGTAGTAATGTCACATTCTAAGAACTATATATATATATATATATATATATATATATATATATATATATATATATATATATATATGTTAGTACCCAATTTTGATAGATTTTGATGATACCACTATACTCCAATTTAGTACATTGTGTCCTAATTAAGTTAGAACATTTTGTTTTCGAATTTCTCATAAGTGACAAAAATAAATGTAAAATCTTTGAGTCTCATGAAATATTACCGAAGAGTAAAAATGCAATAAGGTAATTTTTTTTTACCTTAATAGGATATTTAGATCCTACCGGTATAGGTCATTTGGCTCAAAGATTAATTAATTGTCACATTTCTTTGTACTCGGATATCATACATTGAATGTGTATGATTGGAAGACAAAGCTTGACCGGCATTAAATACTGAATCAAGTACACGGACCTACAGCATGGGACACATGAAGTAATCCACCGGCTACCAATAAGTGAAGACAACTTCGATAAATGATCCAGCACAAGAAGACAAGTGTACAACTTATCCTTACCAGAATTTCAACGCCAAAGATTAATTCATCCCAACCAACGGATGAGATTAATCAACTATGGAGGCCTATAAATATAGGTAGAAGCATAAGTTCTAAAAGAAGCTTGAGCATCCTAAGTCGAGAAATTCTTCCATTAAAGCATATCCAAGCTATCTAGCAAAAGAGAAAGTGCAAACTCAACTTTACTCTCTGCTTAGACTCATGCTTCACTTAGCTCTTAGATTAGTTCAACACTTTCATATTTTAGAGCTTAGTTCTTAGTTGGAAATTAGAACTTTCTTGTATCAAACTGTTGTAAACACTTAGGAGAACAGTTGTTCTGATCCTAAAGTGTGGATAGATAGATAGAGTACCTTTTGATCCCCACTGGATCAATAGAGAAAAGTCTAAGGACTGAGTAACTTTGAGTGGTGTTATACTCATTGTGAAAAACCTTCAATCTAGGCCTGAGTATTGTAAAGGCTAGATTGGCACTAAGTGTATTGGGCTAAACACTTTAGTGAAATCCATCTGAAATAGGGTGGGACTGGACGTAGGAGGATTACACCACCTCTGAACCAGGATACATCGTGTGTTTATTTACTTTCACTCAACAGAGCACACACCCAACACTTCTCACTAAAGGGATCGTAGTTTGCCAGCAGCATCCTAAGCAGTAGTCTTAATTGACTCTACTGCTTATCCTACTGCTTAATAACTTACTTTTCCTTGAGACAACTATCTCACACGAGCTTTGGAATATCACTACTAAAGGTCAGGTTTGCCAGTTCTCATAAATACTACTTTCATAAGCAGCAGACCGCTTAGCAGATTCCTGGGTCCACCTAACTGCTCAGACTTCTGCTCAGGCAAAACATCTTATTTTCTCCACCTCAGCACACATTCAGTTAGCCCTCATCATTCTGTACAAGGCCATATAATCATCTCTTCCAAACTCCTGTTTTCCACTAGCAGTTGCCTCAGCAGTTTCCTGCCATCCAGGCAACTGCCAAGCCAACTGCTCACTGTTCAAAGTCCAAACATCATTTAAGTCAGAAAGCTGTCACACATTAATCATCAAAAGGGTAAAGACTTCCGCTGTGCATCTATTAATCTCTCAAAAGATTATAGATCAACTCATCTAGAAGGGAATCTTTTTAAAGTTGAAAAAGATTTAAAAGTCTATTCACCCCCCCCCTCTAGACTTTTACCCTATCCAGGACCATCAATATATATATATATATATATATATATATATATATAATTAAATAAATGTCGAGTGTGAAGAAATATCTTGAACTACGAAGGATTTTGGCTACAAAGGCGGTGTTTCGCCTCTCCCGACATGTTTCCAGGAATGGTCATTTCTTTTCCTTGTTTTGATTTTAAATTAAAGCAAAGGACATGTGAGAAAGATAATTACGACAAATCACAATTGATTAGCCAAGAGGTGATAAAGACGCAGTTTCTAGCATCCTCTATTTCCCTTTCGCGGATGAACTGCTAAAGGATCCAGGATTTAGGAAAGACAGCTAGCGGAGATCATTATTAGTTGTGCTCATCAAATTCACCATCCTCGTGCATATATTAGTTGCATATCTAACAAAGTTGAATCTTAGTTTAAATAAGACATAGAGATTTACTAGTTTGATATATATATAAGTATGTATTATAATCATCACGCAATTTATGTGTGAACAAAACGTTATTTTCAGAATTTGAGAAATTTAACTAATACTTGTTGAGGTTTTTCCTATAATATTACTAATAAAAAAGTCATGGACAAAAATGTGACCTGGTAAGTTTTAGTGACTATGATCATGTTCAATGTTTATATCATAGTCACTACATCATAGTAACTTTGAACATAATTATAGTCATTAAAAGCTACCAAGTCACATTTGTTTTCATCACTTTTTCAAGAGAAAATACTAGTGGAATTTTATCATATTACGTGCTATACGTTTAAACATCAAATTTTGCCTATTTCAAGTTTAGATTATATTGATTTTTCAGGAGTCAACTTTTAATTCATAATGAGTTTCGAGAGATATAATATATCCAATTGAAGCTATTTCAGTGCTATGTGTGTTCGTAGGGGATCAACTGACCACCCCCTTGGCTCCTCTGCTGTCTATAAATAATGCAGCAAGACCAGCCCATTTATTGTATAGCCATATACACTTATTTTATAACTATATTGAGCAAACAATTCAATTCGATTCAAAGTAGCATCAATGGAAAAAGAAAACAGGGACATGGCTTGGAGAAACTATCAGACTATTCAAGAAAATCAGAAGCTGATGCTAGAGATTGATCGTTGGAGCAAGCAGAATGAGGCATTGAGGGCTGAGATCATAGATTTGCTTGCTCTAAAAGCAAGGTTACGTGAGAAGCTTGAAGGCTCTGGACACATTTGTGATCCAACCAAGATCAAACCCAACCCATCCAACCCCCGAATTAATAACAAAGTTAATCTCTTTGTGTAAGACCGGCCATCCATTATTCGAGTGCTTTGCTTTGTGCGTGTGTGTCTGTTGTGCGTGTGTTGTGTGATGTGTACAAGGTTGAATTTGAGTGTTCAGTTGTTGTAATTGTACTTATTTGTCATGGCCGGACAAATATAAAATGGTTTTGGGAAAGACAAAATTAAAATAAAAATGTGTCTAATTTGAGCTGTTGTGGTGTGCATTTTATGTGTGTTTGAGTCCAATGAACACTAGCTAGTTGTGGCAAAGTTCATTACTCTCGAAATTTAAAATGACTCGTACTATAAAAAACCATAATGTGGACTTTGACGGTTGTTTCTAATGCCATGCTAAACACATCTTTAAAACAAAAATGTGATCGCATTGTGGTGGTGGTGGTGGTGGAAGATCACAATGATACGTGTTAAAATCTTCAGTAAGACTCTGGTTGTTAACTTGTTATGTGAAATCTTATAGGTCTGAAATCTTATCGTGTCAAAATCATGACCCCAATCTGTTTCTGCTTGCTCACCTTCCAAAATGCCCAAGTCCACAAAAGTCTGTAGTTCCTTCTCAAAGCCCGCAGCTTCGCCCACGAAGAAAACCTTTCTATGGCTCGCAGCTTCACCCAGACAAGCAGATCCGCCAAGCAAACTCCGACCACAGCCACCAGACCCCCCGCCCGACTTTAGCTTGATGACGAACTGGGGATAACGAATCAAAGAAAGCAAAACCGATCTTAAAGATCGAAACTGGAGAAACGACCTAGCGGCGCAAACTCTAGGAGAAGAGCTTCTGGAGTATTAGTGATGTATAATAAGAAAAATTAAAAGCTAATCATACTTTTTTATTAAAGAGCTAATCATATTTTTATTAAGGGCTTGTTTGCAATCACTTAATTTTAAGTGATTGTGGTTTTTTTATAAGAAAAATCACTTATTTTACCAAACACTATCATCTTTTACTTTTCTCAGCTTTCGTGTAGAATCTGCTTTTTACTTTTTTCTATTACACAAAAACCACTTATTTTACCAAACACTACTAACTTTTTTTTGATGTAATTGGTACTGACTACAGAGTAGTATCGTATTTTACTCTACTCCTTATTTTGCAAGTTTGTAATCAAATTGGTATGAGTATTTCACTATTTCAGTTTGCGTGCAGTACTGCTATTTAGTGTTGAAGCTCCCTCGAAAATTCGATCAAATCCCCAGCAGATCTACGGTCAATGGCCAAGGAATTTAAAGCACCGCCGGTCATATTCCCGTCCGGCGGAACCCCAGGCACACAGCAGCGTCGCCCACCGGCGGCACCGTTCCAGCCATCGAGATCTTCGAACCCTAGCATCCCATTCATGTCCTTTGACATTGGTTCCGCTCCCGCGTCCACCTCGTTCTCCACCCCACAATTCGCCCCCACCACCATCAGCGGCGGATCTACTGGATTCGAGGACGAGGCTCCGCTTCTCGAGGAACTTGGGATCAACACCAAACAAATTTACCAGAAAACTCTGTCGATTCTGAACCCTTTCCGAGTCAAGGCAGATCTTCATGAAGATGCCGATCTCTCCGGGCCATTCCTGTTCCTCATGGCGTTCGGGCTATTCCAATTGCTCGCTGGGAAGTTCCATTTCGGAATCATCTTGGGGTGGGTGGTCATGGCTTCCGTATTTCTGTATGTGGTGTTCAACATGCTAGCTGGACGAAACGGGAACTTGGATTTGTACAGATGCGTCAGTTTGGTCGGCTATTGTATGCTACCCGTTGTGCTCTTGTCGGCAGTATCACTGTTCTTGCCCGGAGGGGTGGCGATTAAGGTTGTGGCAGGTGTTTTTGTCATATGGTCTACAAGAGTTTGCACCCGGCTTCTGGTTGAATTGGCATCGCATGGAGATGAGCATCGTGGGTTGATTGCTTACACATGTTTCTTGATATATGTGCTTTTCTCTTTGCTTGTGATCTTCTGATGAAACCAGGTTGTGTGTTTGGATGTCATGAATTGATTAGTTTATATGAAATTTGGTACCACTTTAAGGCTTGAAATGATGCAAACTGCAAAGTTCAATTTTTATCAGTATCATGGTAGAGCTTGACTTTTAGGCCATGTAATTTTACTTTCTTACTAGGTTTAGTTCTTTCCTTCAAAGCTGTTTTCATTTTATTTTATGAAAAGCTTTGTTGCGTATTGAATGAAGGGATTTTTTGGTAATGAGATGTCAAATCCGATTGCTGAATGTATTTATGAACCATTAATGTTGAGATTTGAGATTGATTTTGGCTTGATGAAGTTGTCAAAGAAATTTATCAAGTGAACTTTGTCAATTGCATCTTTTGCATTCAGGGCTTATCTTTCTTAATTATATGACTGCCTGCCATAAAACCATAATATGTTTACCAATTTTCACAGCTTTTAATCATCAAATTAGCTGCTGTCATTCGCAAGGTTGGGGATTTCGGGTTCCCTTTTTGCAGCCAATAGTATCTGACCTTGCTTATTCATCCCATCATTTATTTGGCTGAAATGCATGTTACCAAAACGCATTTCCTGTCGGAAAATTGAGGTTATTCAGCTGTTTCTGCAAAATACCTTTACCAAACGTTCCCTTAGTCTAGTTTATAACTTTATATGCGTTTTCAACTTGTTTAGACGTTCTGATGATGTCTGTTGCTGGTGCCTGTAGTCGTGGTGAGTTCTGAGGCGGGACGTGGAAATGTTTTTTTTTTCTGTGTATTTTGAAATCCAACTCGGGCGAGGATGGCTATTGTTAGGGGACATGAATAGGACGCCCATGCATCTATTCCTCCGGTTGTCATTGTGGTCTCTGTTTTGACCACTAATCCTTTCATGTTGAGGACAGACGCAGTGTGAAGAATCTAGCAGAGAAGATGCCCAGCTGTGCGGCTCCCTTCCTCTCACACATATTATCTCTGATGCAAGCAAGGGATGCGGTCTCCAGATCAACGCCAGATTGTTGCTAGTTTGTCGCACCAAATTGTCGAATTCCCGAGTCGGCCGGTCGCCCTCACATTCCCTCTATCATTATCACGGTTTCTCTTTATGCGAATTATTTTTTGCGCCAACATAGTTACAACTTACGACAAAGTTGTTGTATAGTTACAACAAAGTACTTTAGATATCCAACAAAGCATTAGATTATTATGCAATTGGGAAAAGTAATGTGAAGTTTATATCACTTCCCTCCGTCATGGGCGTTGTTTTGCTCTTTTCACTAAGAGCTACTCAGTCCCCTCTCACAACATGAAACTAAAGGTTTTAGAAAATGTAACTGGCCCCATTTTTCTCCAGGTCTGTTTCTTTTCCATTATATTTCTCCTGTATCAATCTCCACAGCTCCACTTAAAAGGTTCCACATGAGCACTCTGTACACACACACACTCTCATACATACACTGACACACTCTGCACACACACATGGAGCGTTCCTTGAGTCGGTCCATGAGTTTGGCCGGCTACTAGAAAATGTTTCCTAGAGTCTTTGGTTTGACCAGCAAATGAAAATGGGATGCATTCGAACACCAAATTTCTCACAAAATTTGGCGGTGATTCGAGAGGGGGGTGAGTGCGTGAGACCCTGTAACCGTCATCAACCAATGTAAAAAAATTGTATAGAACAAGCCTTGCCAACAACGAACGTCGAAACTTCATCACCCTATCTGCTTCGCCAATGTGAAATACACCGACTCTAGAAACTTCTAGAAATGAAACATTTCATATTAAATGTGCTGCAAAAATCATTTACCGTGATGAAAGAAAACTGAAGAGAAGAAAAGTTGAATGGCTAAGATTTACTCTTGTCGCCTCGTCGCCTCGTCGGGGCTTGTTGTTAATTTTCTTATTATTGGCGTTTGTCACTCATGGTTTAATGGTTTAACATTTTATTTTTTAAATGAGTTTAATGCACCAAACTCGCTTGTAATATATATATATATATATATATTCGACGCATTACCCTTTTATAATTTTAAAAAGGTGTCATGCCTCTCTGTATTATAATTATTTATGTACAAAACCTCATTCGAGAACAACTTTAAGTTTCAATTAAAAGAAAAAAGATTAGTATATTTACATTATTTAGAGATCTTCACAAATTTACTTGCATATTTAATCATAATATTAATACAAATGATCTATAAATTGTGAAGTTTGTTGCTAGAGGGGGTTTTGTGCATGAATAATTATAATACATGGAGTTTTCACAAATTATTTAAACAAAATGAGCTAATGCGTCAAATTTATATATCATAAGGGTGTTTAGTGCATTAAACCCCTTTGAAATTAAAGTGGAACTGATCTCTCAAAAAGATCGAAAATTAGAATTGGCAATATTTCGATATTTTCGTAGTTTAAAAGCAAACCTTTTCCATTAATATTACAGAACTAAATTCAAAAGACAAAAATATGACTTATTTTAAAATGTTCTAATAAAGTAACATCAAGGGTGTCCCGGGGGAGGAAAGTAGCAGCAAGGGCCCTTGGCCCAAAAAAGCGAAAAAATAGGCCTAGTATTTATGTCTTTATACTAAGGCCGAATGGGCAGAGATTTTCAGCTTATTCAGTATTTTCATTCAGTCAGTAAGGCTCAGTAACAAAAATAGTAAACAATCATAAAAATATGAGAGGTTCTCCTCACTTCTGCTAGTGCATATATGCAATTATGTTATTCTACATTTGGTGCGCCGCTCCTTAAATCCACAATCTATGTTTTTTTTACTTACTACATTGATACATTATTAGTTAATAGTTATGATAAAAATAAACTTTTTACTTCATTGATACATTTTGTTGTTAACTTACTTATTGATTATTGATTGTTGTCTTGTTGAATCATGAAGTACTTAAATTGTTAATCAAGTATTTTAAATTTGTTGGAGTATAAAACACAAAGTACTATTTCATAAAGAGTGAAATTGAGATTGTGTTTTAGCTTTTGTAGTTAAAACTGAATACGAAATTGAATTGTGATTTTGTGATAGTATTGAAATTTCTTCCGTAACAATTAAAATTTCATTAAATATATATAATTTAATTAATTTTAAAGTGTAATAAAAATGGAGGAAACTCGATGGGATATAGTGAAAAGGAGAAGTGTAGGGAGAAAAAAATTACGATATTTTTTACAAATTAGGCCTATTATAGATCATTCGCCCCTAGGTCTTGAAACTGTCTGCATCGGCCCTAAGTAACATATTCAGTGACTCATCATCTATGAGTGACTTGTCACTTTGAAATACTACCTCCGACACTTACAATTTTGCCACATTTGATCAACATAAAGAATAATAAAGTAAAAACTATGTGGTTAATGTTTGTGCAGATGAGAGAGAAATAACATGAATCACAAAGTAGTTGATTAAAAGGGAAAGTGGCAAAGTTTGTGAGAGATGCCAAAATGAAAAGATCACAAAGTTTTAAGGGACAAAAAGAGTACATTATAATGAATCTTATTTAATTACTCGTACATAGTGATTGGTTATATTTTTATCGAAAATAGTCAAAATACTAAGGACGTGTTTATTTCGCCACTAAAGTCACATTTAGGTTACTAAAACAGGTGATGAAAACACGCAAGCTACTTAAAAAATCGTTTACTAACCGAAAGAGGTGCTTAAAGTGCCGCTTACTAAGCATATCACTCCTCATGTATTAATTAAGCAACACTTTTTTTCAATTTCCGAGTTTACTCCTTACATCTTGTCCTTACCAATTTTCACTGTTCTTAAAATCGGCCTAGTCGGTCTTCACTGTAGAGGATTAATCGGCCTAGTCGGCCAAAAAATTGGTCTAGTTGGCCTAAAAATCGGCCTAGTCGGCCGACTAGGCGTTAGGCGCCCCTCAACCGTCCGACTAGTGCTTAGCGAGTTTTAGAACATTGCCCCTTATTGTAACTCTTACCCTACCCCTACTACCTACCTTAGCTCTACACACCCATGCCTCACCTCTACCCTAACTTACCCCAACCTCATCCCGACCCCCCTACGTGTATCCCTAACCCCTACCCCTTCCCCTACTCACGTACCCCACCCGACCCCCGTACCCCTTACCCCTACCACCCGATTCACAACCCTACGCCCTACCCCACCCCTAACCCCTCTAACCTTGTTTATCCCTACGGACCCTACCCCTACCATGGTCATACTCCCACACACTACTCCTACCCCTACCTACCCTTGACCTTACCTTACCAGACCGTACCATATCCCTACCATTACCCCGACCCTAAGTAGGGGAGTAGGGTAGGGGTAAAGTCGTGGTAGGGATAGGCGAAGAGTGTGGAATTGGGGGGGGGGGGTGTAGGGTTTAGGGTAGGGGTAGAGGCGGGGTAGGTGTTAGGGGCAATGGGTACGCACACGGGGTGACCCTCACGTATTATATCATATATTTGTGTACACAAATGTTTGTGTGTCTATATATGTACATAGAGTTATTTTGGATGTTTTAATGTTAAACGGTGTTAAATCTTTTGAAATAAACATGAGCTTATAACACTTTTATTAATATGAGTCTTAATAAGCACCGTTTAATAACACGTGAAATAAAAATGTCTCATAATCTTATCACATCACAAATATACTTGTATTACGGAATACTAAGCCCAACAAAAGCTTTAACAGAAAAGCCCATCTACCCCACAAAACTTCAGGAATGAATGCAGCCACAAAAACAGTGCGGAATCTAATTGTCTTCCGATCGATAAGATTCGTCGTCGCCGAGAAGTCACAGAGCCGCCGATCGAAGCCGAAAGTGCAGTGAAAGTCACCGGATCTCTTTGTTTCGGAACCAGAGGCTAACCCCACCACTACGCACATCACTTTAACAGCCGAACACCTCTGCTCATTCGCGGTTTTCCCCGCGCTCTAATATACATTGCCCTATCCCGCTGCTATCTCAGTCGTGTCCTAATCGTGTCTGAGATTTATTCCCTCGTATCCGGTCAATGGTACACTAGGCGGTGTCCTTGACACGTGTCCCTTGTTCGAACCCGCCGTTTTTCCTAAAAAAATCAGGCGCGTCTGTGCTTCCTAAACTTCCTTGATCGACGAATGCTGGTTCGTTTTCGATTCTTCAGTTTACTACTCATTTTTACCTCACGCTCTTCAGCTTCTGTTGGTCGTGGAAGTATGGTATACCTTAAATTTATGTTAAACTCAAACTAGGGTTTGACAATCCGTTGAAGTGGTGTGCTTGGTTGGTTTTGGGCATTTTCTTTATTTAAATTTGGACTCTGATGCTTTACCTCTGAACTTCATGATAAGCTTCCTGCTTACTCCAATGGAGGCCAGCCTATTATTTGGCCTGCTTACATTTAGTGGCAAACTTCAGTTTTAATTATCTTGTTGCAGGTTTTTAGTATTTCTGGTTCATTTTATGTTTTCATTACAGGAAACATCTCTAAAAGTTCAACCTTTTTACTGGAGTTTTGAGCTTTGAAATTTAGTGCAGCTATGATAAATAATAGATGATTTTCCCATGTGAATTTGATATCATCCATATGAATTTGATATTTTTATGTTTAGATTGAATGCTAACTATTTTTTAGTGAAAGTCGATGCATTGAACAAATCAATGTATTGCAGAGTATGGCTGCTGGATTCTTTTAAACTTTTGTAAGCTGGGACCTTATAAATTTTTACTAGAAGGATGTTAGAACTATAGTACTACGTAATTAGTGGACACTAGAGGCTCATTATATCAGCTTCTATATAGCCATGCTAACAGTGTCTTCTCTTCCATGCTGCAAATGCCTCCACATAAAATTCTAGTGAATTTAGATGCTGTATTTTGACAGCTAATGCTAACGCTGCAATTAACTGTTTGTTTGTTTTGTTAGGATATTTGAAGGCAATTGCTAGAAGAAGGTTCTTTGAATGTATGCGGTGCTAGTTCTGTGAGTTTCGACATGGCTGGGAATGCAAGGTTCGAAATAAAGTCTACTAGCCCTGATTCAGGATTTGCAAGCAGCTACAGTAATGGGCAAAGAGTCTCTTATGCTGGTCCTATCTTAGACAGATCGGGGAGCTTCAGCGAGGGGGCCAGTAGCCGGATATTTGGTTACGGGAAGGGTACATCTCGTGCCAGTACTTCAATGTTGGGAGAGACTTCTACTGTATCTCAATGTCTTATGTTTGAACCAATTCTAATGGGTGAACCAAAGTATCCCCGTTCTGTTGAGTTGAGAAGGGTGCTGGGGGGTGTATCTGTAGGGAGCACCTCCGAAGATAATTCTTTTGGTGCTGCTCAATTGAAGCCTTCTCATCTGTCATCTATAGATGAAGTAAAGCGTTTTAGAGCTAATCTTGCAGATACATGCAATAAGGCTAGGTATCCTTTCTACTAAAAAGGCTTTATACAATCAATCTATGGCAAATCATCCATTTCATTCTCTACTTATTAGCTATGGATTTTTTTATTTCCATAATGAACAATCTTTTATATCTTCTTTGTATCAAAGGGTACCTTATTGGCAGTTGGGTAAGGTGTAGTTTGTTTTTACCTTTAGCTAAATGTGCTCTTGATGTTAATTTCAATCTTGGGATTTGTATTCATGTTTGTCTATAGTGTGAATGGAGAGAAATCTTATGTTCTTGTGCTTGGAGAAGAAATTGTTAGAACACAGACATGCTATTTCTTTAATTAGTGTTTCCATTATACATATGCTCATGAATGTGTGCGCACACTCTCGTGGTGTGTCTTGGAACTTTGCTTATTGTGATGGCTTTTGCTTTGGTTAGTGTTAGAGCAAGAAGGTTCGATGATCTCCTTCATAGACTGAGCAAGTATAGTGAAGTCACAAGGAAGCAGCAAAGGAATGAGATGTTATTAAATGAAAGATCAGGTGTTTCACACTTAAAAATGGGGAATCAGATTCATCGAGGGCCTACAGAATTAGTAACTCAGAAGATAGATGAGCGTCCTAAGAATGGTACTCTGAATAAGCGCACTCGCACATCAGTAGCAGAAACTCGGGTTTGTATAATTATGTTGCTATTTGTCTCATTGAGTTTTAAAAATGTAATTTTTTCAGAGTTTCTAATTATTTATAAAATATTTGAGAGCATCAAGGTGTACCAAACTACCACCCAAAAATTGAATTTTGACCTTTGTTAAAAAAAGATATCAACTTTTTGTGTGCTCCCATTTAAGCTTGAATTGCAATTCCCATCTATTAATCTCTTATTACAGTATGAGGAATTGAGGTGAATTTTAGAATTATTGTTTATGTTCCCATATGGAAATAATACCCCAAGTCCCTAACTGAGTTGTGTGAAATAACTACAGAAAAGTATAAATTCGACTTTCAATATTCAACAGAGAAATTGATGTTTTTTGTGTTTACCTTTAGGCTTGAACTGAACTTTCATCTTTGAATCTCTAATCATGTAATGAGGAACATATTTTGGGGGTGAGTTATTGAAAGTAGTGTTTGTGTGCATGGATGGAAACAACGCCATAGCTAGCTTGTTGGAATTATTAGCATTGTACATTTCTACTTGTGTTTAATAAATACTTCCTTTGTCCCGTTAAATTCATGGCACGTTAATGCATCATAGTTAAGAAAAGTGGGAAAATAGAGAAAATGAATCAGATACTCCCTCCATCTCATGTATTTGGGACAATACAATCAGCATGAAATATCAAGAAAAAGTGAAATTGTGTGGTTGATATTGAATTTGAAAAGTTAAGGATGATTGTGGGAAAAACATTTTGAGACAGACTTGGAAAAACGGGAATCATGGGACGAACAATTTGTGTAATGTTAGTAATATTTAATTGGCATTTTTACTAGATAAGTGACAAAAAAGTAGTTGATGTGATAGAGAGAAACTCTTGAATAGAATACCCATGTATAATGTTTAAATTCTTTGAAAAAAGTTCACCCAAAAAGGAATAATGTAAGTGTGACGTTTTTTAGACTGCCACTTATGGAATACACTTATGGAATAAGTGATGTTCTTATGGGATGGGGGAGTATTAATTATTGTGATAATAAAAGCCTTGTCCAATCGTATTGTATGGCTTCCATAACAACTTTGAAGAAGTGTTCCCATATCATTGCTTCTTTTTTTGTGTTTTAAGAAATACTCCTTTGTCCCAGACTAAATTTCATTTTAGGTTCAAGCATTATAATTAAGAAACATAGGCAAAATAGACAAAAAATGTAAAATGTACTACATCGGTCCCTTAAAACTTTGCCATTCTTTGTCTTTTCAACTCAATGGTGATAAACTTTAGCCAACAATATATTTTTGTAAAAGTTAAGTTTTATGTTTCTATTGTAGTATTTTTAACAAAGAACAATTTCATATTATTTTTAAATTTTACGGAGTATATTATAAATAGTTTCCTATGTATATATATTATTGGTCAAAGTTTATCATCATTGACACAAATAATTCAAAGATGAAAGAGTTTTAAGGTAAAAAGGGGGTGATATTTAAGTGTCAGTTTTGATTAGATAAGTGAGAAAAAGTAGTTGACGTGATGGATAGAGATGATGCAAAATAGTAACACATACATAATATCTAAACTGAATGGAAAATGTTTACCCAAAAAGGAATAAAATTAAGTGCGAGGTTTATGTCGAGGCTGCCACATAAGGAAATTTAATTATTAAGATAATAAAAGCCTTGTCTAACCATATTGTATGGCTTTTACCATACAAAACAACTTTGAAAGAGCATTTCACTCTTCCTTTGTCTCTGTCTTCCGTGTATGACTAAATAGCCATACCCCCATTTGATTTTGGGCTTATCAACTTATCCTTCAATGTGTAAATTCTAAATTTTGTCACATGTTTCACCACATCTCTTTTCACGATATCAACTCTGAAGTTATATACCACTTCAATTGCAGTCATCCTTCACTCGCAAGAATTTAAAACTTCCGTGTCAATCACGTGTAGTGTAAATTTGTATTCTCTCTCTCCACCGCAATAAATTTTGAATTCTCCTTTTGATGTATTTGTGCAGTCTGAATTCCGGAGTAATGGTTTACAGAGGCAGCCTGTACAAATGACAAAAGAGCGAGATATGCACAAGGATGGCAATGCAGATCCTGATATGGCTGAAGAAAAGGTTCGCAGGTTGCCTGCTGGAGGTGAAGGGTGGGACAAAAAAATCAAAAGGAAACGCTCGGTTGGTGCAGTCAATTCAAGACCTATTGATGATGATGGTGAACTAAAACGGAATTTGCATCTTAAACTTTCTGGTGAAGCTGGCTTGCCATCTTGTGATTCTCACGGTTTCAGGTATATGTCGTCTGAGACTCTATTTATCTGTCCTTATATCCTGGCATTGTTTTCTTTGATGTGGTTGTCTAGTTGCAGTCCCATCTGATCAAAATTGTGTTTCAATTATTGTATAAAAAGCCACCTCATTCTTACCTTGGCAGATCAGGAATGTCTAGTGCTGCTGGTGGCTATAGTAAGTCAGAGGGTACTTCACCTGCTAGTTCCAGTGGTCGTGCACTCCAAAGTGAACAAGAAAAGTCCCCTCTATCAAGGGATTCAACAGCTGGACTGAACAAGGAGAAATTTTTAGCAAAAGGAAGCATCAAGTATGGGTTCAGATGCAATACATGACACTTTATTTATGTGTTTCATTTCCACAAGGCATTAAACATCATTCTTTATCATTTGCTTTTTTACTTTAGATATAATAGCTGTGATGAAATCAATGCTTGCCCTAGTCCAATAACAAAAGGGAAGGCATCAAGGGCCCCAAGAAGTGGATCTATGGTTGTAAATAATTCAGCTTCCACTGTTCCTCGAGTACCTCCAATCCATGAAAGCTGGGAACAGTCATCAAATGCAATAAAGAACCTCTCTGCTGGTGGTGCCAATAATCGCAAGCGTCCATTTCCTGCAGGATCATCTTCGCCTCCCATTACACAGTGGATTGGTCAGAGGCCTCAAAAAATTTCTCGAACAAGGAGGGTTAATCTTGTATCTCCAGTGTCAAACAATGATGAGATACAGTTATCGTCTGATGGGTGTTCCCCTTCTGATTTTGGAGCTAGATTAACTACCAGTGCTGTAAATGGTTCTATTTTACCAAAACCCCCCACCAACGGAGCACAAAACTTAAAAGTCAAGACTGAGAGTATTTTATCTCCAGCCAGGTTATCAGAAAGTGAAGAGTCTGGGGCTTGTGAGAACAAATTAAAAGATAAAGTCATTGTCTGTAGTGAGGGAGAGGAAAAGGCCGGAAATACTGTTCCAACTATTGGGCCTTCTCCCTCACACATGAAGAAGAACAAGTTCCTTGCCAGAGAAGAAATTGGTGATGGAGTACGAAGACAAGGGCGCAGTGGAAGAGTTTCATCGTTCACTAGGGGTAATATTTCCCCTACAACGGAGAAGTTGGATATTTTGTCCACTCCAAAGCCACTTCGACCAACAAAGCATGTTGAAAAGAATGGCAGGTGATGTCTTTTTTTTTTTTTTTTTTTTTTTTTTTTTTTTTTTAATGTTGGTGATGATGCAGTTGCTGAATTTTCTGTCTTCTCTATTAACTTACAGAGAAAAGGGTCAAATAAGGCCTTCTACTATTATGAAATAGTCACATAAGGCCATGTACTCAATAAAGTGTCATACAAGTACCTCTACTTGTAAAAAACAATCAAATAGGTCCTAATGACCTATTTAACACCTCTTAATCCCGGTTTTAGCGTACTTGTGACCATCTTTTTAGAATATATTATACGGCATACGTCGAATATTTAACTAAGATTGGTTGAAATACAAGTCAAAAAAATCGACATGTAAGCTAAAACCGGGATTAGGAGGTTGTAAATAGATCGTTAGGACTCATTTGATTGTTTTTTACAAGTAGAGGTACTTATATGACACTTTATTGAGTACATGGCCTTATGTGACTATTTCATAATAGTAGAAGGCCTTATTTGACCCTTTTCCCTTAACTTACACGAAACCACTTTTTTCCTTTTAATGGCTACAGTAAGTCTGGCCGTCCTTTGAAAAAGCAGTCTGAGCGCAAAGGATGTTCTCGCCTTGGGCATCCAACAAGTAGTGGGTCACCCGATTTCACTGGTACTGCTCACAAATTTCTTATCTTAAGGTGCTTATTGCATTTATTAAACCAAGGTTGATCTGCTCTTCTTTAGAAAGAGATTCAACTGAACTACAACAAAGATTTATGTTGAGTATGTGAATTTAAATCAGCTTTTGTTTACCCATATATATACAGTATCTTTACTATTTTGTTTACCCATATATATATATACAGTATCTTTACTATTTTGTTTACCCATATATACCCATTATTGCGTATATGTTTAGGAAAGGAAGTCCTTTCATTCAGATGAACATATAATATGAGCAAGTTATTGCAGGCCACTAATATGAAATTAGGATTTTTATAAAGCATTATGTAGTATTTTCAGGTCATGTGTAGTGATCTATTTATTTAGTTCTTATCATGCCAAGGAATTTGTGTAGTGATCTATTTCTTTAGTTCTTATGATGTCAAGGACATAACTATACTGTTGCATCCCTCGTCCCTTTTCCAGGGGATTCAGATGATGGACGTGAGGAGCTTCTATCTGCTGCAAACTCGGCGTATAACTCTAGTGGTATGCATACTGAAAACTTTTTATTTCTTAATTTATTTAATACATCTCCTGGGTAATCTGTATATTCAAGAGGTTCTTTGTTGGCTGCTTTTGTAGTTCATGCATGTTCAAATGTATTCTGGAAGAGAGTAGAAGCATTTTTTGCTTCTATCAGTTCAGAAGAGAAGCTCTACCTATCAGATCAGGTGACAACTTTGAGCAAAGTATTCATACCAAGTCACCATATGGCTGTACATCTTTTGTTTAGTTGATCTGATTAAGTTTGTTTTCTTCAATCAGTTAAAATCATCAGAAGAGCTTCATGCAAAACTAACAAAGATTTCATGCTCGCATAATGGTGCTCTGGTACTTTCTTAGACAAGTTTTCTATTTATTGCATTACTGCATTTTCTTTATTACTTAGGAAACTTAATGGAAGGAAGCCTTGGTGAACCTATTACGGTGATGCTGTGTGACCAAGAAGTCACAGGTTCAAGTCTTGGGAGCAACCTCGTCAAAATGATAATGGAAGGCTTGCTCCATTTACACCCTTGTGGTGGGCCCTTCTTTGGAGACTTGCTATGCATGGACGCCTATGTGCATGGGGCTGCTAAAAAACCTTAGGAATATTATGATGTTTTTACTTGGACTGTTTTCAATCCCAGACCAGACTTGGATAGTTATAAAATACACAGAGACCAAACATTTACCAGACCAGTTAGTCCAGACCATAGATACAGAAATCGCTGAGATACCCGCGTTTCGCGTTCCGGATCGCGCGTACCGGATCGCGGTACATTTGCGTGCCGGTCGCTTCTGGGTCGCGACTTCGGTACGGAAGTTTCAGGTCGCAGTTCGCTGGTCTCTCCGCCGCAGGTCGCTGACGCTGGTCTCTCCGCCGCAGGTCGCTGACGCTGGTCTCTCCGCCGCAGGTCGCTGACGCTGTTCTCTCCGCCGCAGGTCCTTTCTTCGCCGTTTGTACTGTCGCTCGTTTTATGGTATTTTAGATCTGGACTCTGTTCTTTTACTTTGCGGCCCTCTCACTCTTTCTTTTGGCAAACCGTTCTTTTTTCCTTTTTTTTGTTTTTTCCCAGTGAGTTGACTCCAGCGACTACTAATTTTCCATCCTTTTTGAACTACGCAGTATTTTGTGTGTGTGATGATTTTTGAACTACGCACTATATGCTCTTTTAACAACTGATTTTTTTATTACTTTATTAATATAGAATACTTATATTAAATAAAAATTTAAGTTTATCAGATTTAGTTTATTCAGTTTATGAATTGGGAACAATTGGAATTTGGAATGTTACATTAATTGTTCAATAGTCCATATTATCAATATTATATTTCTACTTTTAAATTCAATATGTTTAGCGGTACACCGTAACGTAATCAATGGTACAACGTACCGCGTACCGAAATAGCGTACCGAAGAAGCCTACCCCCTCGCGTACCGGATACACTGGATTTAGCGAACCCCGTTCCCGATCCTCGTTCCCGTACCGAAGCGTTCCACGAACTATGTGACTATGGTTCAGACCAGACCAGATGAGCAAATTTATGTTCAAGTAAAACATCCTTAATGGCAACGTGTTAGACACCTGGTGAGATCTGAGTATTCAGTGTAACAACAAATATTGATAGAGAAATAGGGTTTATTGATAGTAATACTCAACGTAGGCAACCGGACTCAGGGACTTCCTAGGCAACAAAGGCAACACTTGATCAAAATAATAGTCTGCCTACCATAGCTATTCCCCCTTCTATTTATAGCCAATATCCACATAAGGATATGCCAACTATTACAATTAACCCCTTCCCTTCTAAATATACTACTACAAATACCCTTACTAATATTATTATTATTATTTCTTATTAATACCTACTAAGCCCAGATTCCTAACACAACGATGCTGCTAAAAACCCTTAGGAATCTTAATGGGAACTTTGTCACCAAAGTTGTGTTCACTTTTAAATATGCTCTTCATTGTTGTTCATGCACATGATTTATAGATGCGCTACAGATAAAGTTTTTAACTATGATCTATGATGCTTTTTTTAATCTTGGATTGCAGGGCACTCATGTGCATGATGAAATTTCTCTATCAGATGCTATTTCTGGGGACTGCAAAATATGCATCAATAGTCAAAGTGGATCAAAAAATCCGGACAGTGCAGATCTTGCGGATAAAGTTCAAGATTACATTCTATCTACAAACCTAAATACTAACCAGAATTTTGACAAAGTGACTCCACTGTATCAAAGAGTGCTCTCTGCTCTGATCATTGAGGATGACCTGGAAGAGCTTGAAGAAAATGGGCTTGAAAGATCTTCATCCCCTGACAAGGCATCTCGTTGTGTTGACCTTGATAGTACTAGAAATATGGATAGGACAGAGTTTGAATGTGGATCAGTAGTTAGCATTGTTCAGTTAGAGAAGAATGGAACATCAAACAAGTTCGCTTCTTGCAATGGATGTAGTACATACACTGGAATTCGTAATCTTCCAAATGGTAATGAAGTGCCTCTAAGGAAGAACGGTTTTGTGCATTCAGAGATTGGGTTGCTGGTTGACCTTTCAAGATGTAATAACTCGGAGGGTCTGCAGAATCAGTTGACAAGTGGTGTTAGCATTTCTTCTTTGGATAAACAATATGCTCAAATGTCTCTCAATGATAAACTTTTGATGGAGCTTCAGAGTGTTGGACTCTATGTAGAAACCGTGGTATCCTCTTACTTATCAACTATACACTCATAAATTCACAGTTGCATACAAGTCTGCTTTTTCTGGGAATTTTATATCTTCCGGCTGCATATTTGCATCATAATGGGATACTATGTTGGGATAATTCAATATATTGTCATGTTTATGATTTCCCAAAAGAAAATGCTACATATCTAATAATGTGCGGATTTTTTTATTGATATATTCTAATGCCTTTTCTCGTTTCTTCTTTTTTTGCTGGGATTATCAGCCTGATTTAGAAGATAAAGAAGATGAAATGATCAACCAAGAAATCATTCAACTGGAGAGGGGATTATATCAACAGGTTACTGGACTCTGTCCCATGCAAAAATATTTTCCTCGGATGTATAGCCTAATATTTAAACTAAATTGACATTTGGTGATCCTCTTATACAAAAGTTCATTAGTTTTTCTTCCTGATGCGTGTAGATTGTTAGAAAGAAGGATTACCTTGGTAAAATATCTCACCTAATACAAGAAGGCAAGGATGTGGATCGCCGGTAAGATAATTTGTAATTCATTCATCATGCAGTGTTCTTTACCTTCGTTTTTGCACTTTTTTTAATCCGTGAATTGTGTGGTTGAGATCTGTTAAACAAGTAGAATTGATGTGTACTACACGGTAATTTTGTTTCTTTTATGAGCACATTTTGTGATGGCCCATAAAAGAAAGTGGGAAGAACATTTTGTGGGGATTAGCAAGCATAACTTTATTCCGACAACAGCAATTATTAACTTCAATTGTGTTCGTGCTTAGGGACCCTGAGCAGGTTGCAATGAATAAGCTCGTCGAGTTGGCTTACAAGAAGTTGTTGGTAATTTATATTCTTTGCCTCTTGGTTTTCTTTTGCTACATCCTCACCACATGACTTAATCTCTTCTTACACTGTTTTTTATTGGAAATATATGTATATATCTATGTATATAACAGGCAACTCGAAAAGCTTCAAAAATGGGGTTGCCTAAGGTGTCAAAACAGGTGGCATTGGCTTTTGCAAGGAGAACACTTGCCAGATGTCGAAAATACGAGGAAACAGGGAAAAGTTGCTTTAATGATCCCATTTATCGGGATATTATTTATGCTTCTCCTCCTCGGTTTTGTGAAGCTGAGCTTTTAGCAGGTACTCTTTGCATTTGTAGTTAGTAATATAGCCAGCATATTCAGCCTTCAGTGTGTAGAATGTTTAATTTTCTTTTTTTTTGTACTATGACTAAGTCACTCCTACTTATCTTGGTCAAAATAAGATCAATGCGTTAGTTCTTAGTGAAAATGATGATGGTAGATAAAGATATTATAGTGGAGTTTCTTTTTATTGCTTTCCTTGATATACAATTAGTAATTTTCCTTGCATGAGGCATAATTCTTTGTTTGGCAGGGTCCAACATTTCCAGTAAATCTGGGATAGTAGATCCTTACAATAATAATCAATCAGAGCAGGCTTTTGCAAGAAATGGACCATTATCAAACAGAGGGAAGAAAAAGGAAGTATTGCTTGACGATGTAGGCGGAACTACCTTCCGAACCGCCACCACTCCTCTGGATGGCCCTACCCTGTTTGGCAGCGCCAAAGGAAAACGAAGCGAGAGAGATACGTCTTCAGTCAGAAACGCAAAAACAGGGCGTCCTTCACTGGCGAGCAACCCTAAAGGTGACCGAAAAACGAGAACAAAGCCCAAGCAGAGGACTGGGCAGCTTTCCACCACATCTTATAACAAGTTCTTGGAAGCCCCAATCCCCATGGAATCACCAGTCATCAATACTGATAATGGAAATGTGAAAAATGAATGTTCTAGAGAGGTCAAGAAGGAATCTGCGGACCCAATATCAAATTTGCCATTATTAAACGAAATTGTTGACACGATAGGAGAAGAACTAGGACCCGATCTTGGTGCACCTCAGGATTTGAATTCTTGGTTCAACTTTGACGTGGATGGTATGCAAGATCATGATTTCATTGGCCTGGATATTCCGCCTGATGACCTCTCGGAGTTGAATATGTTTTAGATGTGGTCATTTACTCACTGTAAATGTTGTGGGTTATTTACTTTAACTGTTAACGGTCACTCATATTTTATTAACATATATATATATAGATATATATATGCATGGCCAATTGGTATTGTAATTATAGCTTCTTTTTGATAAATAATGTAGAAAATTATCATTGTTAATGCAATCTAGTCGTCAATACTGCCTTATGCGTTTGATGTGCAATTTTGGTCTTCTCATCGTTTAAGAACCGTCTGTAGTCCGATTATTTTTCTATCATATACAGTCATACAGATATACTCATAGTTCGTTTTTGAAGTAAAAGTTTATCGCAATGTGCAGTGGACTGGTACAGGCCCTGGATAGCCAGCAAGTATTTCTAACTTTAGATCTCACTGAAAACAAACAGATCCGGAGTATAAATTGATACCAATGATACGATAGTATATAGTACTACGTAGTTTTTTTCTGGATGAAATGTAAGTATATATAAAGAACCATCCAAAGGAGTTTATTTGTACAACAAAAAGGGTGAGCGAAAATGCAGGGTATCCATAGATTGGATAACCCATCACCACCCCAAAAGAACAATGCTTTCAACCATGCTACGCTATCTCAAAGCCAATCACAGGACAAAAATGGTGATGGGCAGCAAGTTTATCAAAAGACCACTAAGTCAGGTAGGTAAATACTATATAGAACTTTGTACGCAATATACTTAATTCTAACAAAAACATCTTCCTCCTTGGGAAATATGCCATAAAAAATGGCCGCATTAGGAACCCTCCATATCCAATATATGGCATAACAAAATGCAATCCGTGAGGCCTTTGCCATTATTCCAGCTCCGCTTCTTTCTTTCTTTATCCATTTCACCGCGCTAGCCAAGGTCCCCATCTGTCTCGGCATCTTCATCCAGGCTCTAACCATGCTCCAAACTTTTCCTGAAAAAGGACATTCAAAGTATAGTTGTGGAACCATTTCCGGACCACCCTTGCAAAGTATACATAGGTTGACCACATCCAACCTATGAAGGTTATCACATGTAGCCAATCTATTCCGGAATGCCAACCAAGTAGTAAAGGAAAACTTTGGAGGTATATAGTTCTTCCAAATAAAGGACATCCACCCACGGGTAGGAGCCTTATTCCTAAGCAGATCATAAATTTTTTTGGATGAAAGTTTCTCCCCCAACTTGGAACCCGTTTAGGCAGTGAATTGCGTGAGGGATATTGTCAAAGTGGGTCAAAATATCATCCCTAATCAAGGCCAATTTTTTTCATTAGTTGTGAGTCTCTATTGTGTGGGGAGAAGTCCCACACGCAACGGCCATTAAGATATATGCCATGCACCCATTTAACCCATAAGGTATCCTTTTTTGTATGAATATCCCAAAATGTTTTTTTGCAAGGAGGGCAGAATTCCATATCCGAGTATCCTGAATGCCAAGGCCACCCTCCTCTTTGGGAAGGCAAACATCAGACCATGTCACCCTAGAAAATTTGCTACCCCAAAAAAAATGCGACAAATGGCAGTTATTCTATCAAGGATGGTTTTAGGTATAGGAAATACCTGTAGCCAGAAAGAGTGCACACCTTGAATTACAGCTTTTATTAGTTCTACTCTTCCAGCATATGAAAGCGTTTTGAGGTTCCAAGCTGTAATAAAAGAAGTAATAGTCTCCAAGAGTGGAGCATAATTGGCCACAGATATCTTTAGTGGGGCCAAAGGCACACCCAGGTATTTGACCGGGAAAGTACCTTCTTGGAAATCAACCAAATCAAGTATATTAGTTAGGTCATTATTAGCCAGATCACCAATGAAGATGTTGGATTTATCATAGTTTACACGGAAACCAGATAAGTTACCAAATTCCTCAAGAGTGTCAATTAGGATCTTGATAGAGGGAGAATCCCCTCTAGAGAAGAGCATTAAGTCATCAGCATACGCAACATGAGTAATCTTAAGTTTCCCACACTTCGGATGGAATTTGAACCGGGGGTTCTTGGTTCTCTCATTAATAAGTCTAGATAAGTATTCTAGACATAGCACAAATAGAAGAGGGGACATAGGATCCCCCTGTCGCAGCCCTCTTTTCCATCAAAATGTCCATGGAGAACACCATTTATGGAAATAGAGTAAGAAGGCATGGAAACACATTCCATGATCCAATGTGTGAATCGGCTAGGAAAGCCCATGTGTACAAGTACATCATAAAGGAAGTCCCAAGATATAGTGTCATAAGCTTTTCTAAGATCAACCTTAAGCATACACCTAGGAGATGTGTGCTTGCGGCCATATCCTTTAACCAACTCTTGAGCAACAAAAATGTTATCAATCATAAGCCTACCATCAACAAAAGCCCCTTGGGCTTTGTCAATAAGGTTAGGCAAACAAGGGATCAATCTATTAGAAATGATCTTTGTAATGGTTTTATAAATAACATTGGTACATGCTATGGGTCTAAAGTCAGCCGGTGTTGGTGAATGAGTGGTCTTAGGAATCAGGGCAATAACCATGTGGTTAGATTGCTTTAGCATCCTACCCGATCCAAAGAAGCCTTTGACAACTAAGGTAACATCATTGCCAACAATCCCCCAATTCTTTTTAAAGAAAGCCGAAGTGAAACCATCAGGCCCAGGAGCTTTGTTGTCCCCAATGTCAAATATAGCATTTTTTATTTCATCATCAGAGATAGGAGAAGTCAACCCTTCTCCGGATTGGAAAGGTAGACAATTACTAGAAGTTATAATGCTAGGGTCCAAACAAGTGTTAGGAGTATGAGTGCCAAACAAGGTCGTGTAAAACTTTACAAATTCACAAGCCACTTGATCAATAGAAGTAGTAGATTCTCCATTAGGCAGTTTTAAGGCCATAATGGAGTTTCTAGCGATGTTCTTCTTCACAATGGAGTGAAAATATTTAGTACACTTATCACCTTGAACAAGATGATTGGCCTTTGTCTTTTGTCTACAAAAATCCTCTTCCACGGCCTTAAGGTATAAACCTATCTTTTTAATCAACCTAAGATCCTCCTGGAGTGTATCATCTAAGGGGGGAGAGAAGGGATAGCCCATGGAGTCTATTGTACTCATTCTTAGCTTTCTTTACTCTCTCGGAGATATGACCAAAAGCTTTATGATTAAGTTCCTTGAGTGGACCTTTAAGGCTTTTCAATTTTTTGGCCAAAATAAATTGAGAACTCCCATAAACCTCCTTTTGCCAACAAGTGGTAAGTATGATATTGAAAGCCTCATGATTGAGCCACATATTATAAAATTTAAACGGCCTGGATCCATTCATATTGATTTGACCGAAGCTCACAATGGCAGCCACATGGTCATACTCAACTTCCATAGGAGGAAAGTGTGTTGTGCAATTCATTCCTTGAGTCATCCAGAGAGGATTCATAAGCACCCTATCTAGTTTAGCCCATAGGGATCCTCTATTCCAAGTAAGGAATTCACCCGTGGAGGGGGTATCAACAAGATTATTTTGGAGCTTGAACTCACTTAGATGTTGTGTAAGGTAGGCCGAAGGAGGGGTGGGACCCACTCTCTCATTAGGATTACTCACACAATTAAAATCTCCCATCACAAGCCAAGGCCTAGTAATGAGAGGTTCCAAAGATGTAAGGTGATCCCAAAGTTCCTTTCTTTCCAAAACCGTATAAAGAGCGTACACAAATGTAACTAAAAATTCAAATTGTGTGGTATTACACTTAGCATGACAATGCACATGTTGTTTATCAACTTCTAATACATTAATATGAACAAATGTAGGATATCAGTACATACATCTTGGTCTTAACTACGTAGTTTGCAAGTAGGGGTGGAACGGCCGGGAAAAATACCGTTATATGACTAAAAGAAAGAGAATTTCTCAATAAATGACTACATATGAATTCTGTCTAAAGTATGACTAAATACGTGCCATGGATATTTAATAAGGATGCAAACTTACTCTATTATCCTCAACTTCTTTGTGGACACGGTTTATAAAAAAATGAATCTTTTCAAAAAGGAATTAAAGCAATTAATACAGAGTGTTGTAGAAACCGTCAATAATAGAAGTCACTAGTGCAATAAACGTAAAGGCTATGCATAGTAAAAGTTATTGCCCATTGGAGGGCAATAAAAATAAATCAACAGGAAAAAAGTGAGGGTAGTAAATGTACTGATTAAATTAGTATTAGAGAAAATGAGGACATAAATAAATTACTGCTCAATTGATACATAAATGATAGCACATTTGGCAATTAAATGAATACATTAACAAAAGTTAAAATAGAAATTAGACAAGTGTGCTTCACTGCTCATATAAGAGGATAGTAAATGAACACGTAAAATTATAACACACGTAATGAGGACACTTTACTAAATACTTTACTGACCTGATACACACGGGTGTAGTACGAAATGGAAAATATGACATATTTGGCATAATAAAAGTTATTGCCCGTAGGATGGCAGTAAAATTAAATGAATAGAAAAAAAGTGAGGGCAGTAAATGAAACAATTAAATCAATAGCAAAGAAAATGAGGATAATTTTATAGATAAATTACTGCCCAATTGATACATAAATGATAACACATTAGACAATTAAATAAATACATTAGCGAAAGTTAAAATATAAAGTATATAATAGACAGTAATAATGAACGAGCAGTGAAAGTGTATTTACGGTGCAATATAGAGGGACAATAAAAATGAACGAGCAGTGAAAGTACATCTATGGTGCAATAAAGAAGGGCAGTAAAATACACTCACACGTATTCATATAATTATGAGCATTATATATAATAATATTATATTTATATTATGAGCAGTATTTATATTTTTATAACATACTCCGTATTTATGATCAAGCAGTATGTAATAATATTACATAGGCAGTAATTATTATTATGGCCGATTGGTTTGGAATGAAAACAAGGTTCCGAGTGTACATCTCTTCTCTAAATTAATTGTGATTTAAGTTATTCAATTAACTGTTATATTATATGTTCGTATATTTAGGAATAGTATTTATCATATGCTAGAAAATAGGAGAAAGACACCATATTCATTTATTAGAGGGCAACCGTGGAATAAAAATTAGGAAGAATAGGAAATAGGGGGTATTGAGTAGTACTAATAGCAGTTACCATATATGAATAAATTCTCCTCATTTTTAGGAAGACCAATAATGAATACACGTTTTGCCCTGTTCGTGCATATCACAAGCGGTTAAATAAGATTAATATAAATGAGTTCCTATATTTAAGCTTGAGGGTAGCCAAGGAATAAAAAGAACCGTGAATGTCCATGCATACTTCCACGTATCATATATTGAGAATAATAACTAACAAGTCATACATTGGGAAACTTATGTAGTTTTAATCATACGAGAGATAATTTACTCTATTCTATACTCCGAGTATGTTTGGCTCAACTAGCTGAAAAGATACTTTAGTGAGCTTTTTAGTAACTGTTAGGTTTTAGTGACTGTAAAAATCTTAAAAAGAAAAGGTGATAGCTGTTTGGTAAAAAGTTGACTGTTTGATTTAGTTCAGTTTGATACACAAGCTGCTAGGACTAAATAATACTAAAAGTCACGAGCTTTTCTCAGATGCTACACTCGGTAGCATCTCAAAAAAGATCTTTTAATTTTTGAAAAATTCTTAAAAAATGTCATGCCAAACATACACCTAGAGACTTTTGTGTGCCAAACATAGCCGGAGAATGTCCGTATGTTTTATGTAGAATTGGTGTAGAAATTATTTGATAAATTAGTAATGTATTCACACGTCTATATCAAGATTATAGTCATCAAGTTTATAAGGAAATGTGTAAATGAGATAATATTGAAAGGTAATCAAGTTTATTCCATCTTGGTCTTAACATGTGTTGCAAATACAGTGTATGTGTTATGTACTACTCCAGTACTCCGTATTATATAGAAAAGTAATGTAGGAGATAAGTATGAGAAGATATATGTGGCTGATTAATCAAATAAAATCTAGATCAATAGCAGCAATCTTGTCCATTATTTCGAACATCTATTATAGATCAATTCATTTTCAAAATATTAAGGAATGACTCTGGTCGTTAACAAAATCATAGTCATCGTTAACTTGCAAGAAGAAAAGTTTAAGAAGTTTGTCACTGACTTGTACAGAAAAATGTGCGAATGACAAATATGGAAGAAAAGGTTTGCATTACAGAGGCGAAAGAGAAACTCAGAAAAGAGAGATGATCGTAATTGAACATTGTAATTGACGGGAAAAAGAAAATAACAATCAATAAGAGGAGTAGTGTGCGGGTCGTGGGATTACACAAGGTATAATAGGCAAGTCTAGAATGTTATTTTATATGTTTTCTAATAGTAGTAAGATGGTCCTATTAGATTAGGGGGAATAGATGGTCTCATTTAAGCATTTCACCCTTATTGTTCTGTTTCTGTATGATGTAACTTCTTTAAATCGTATTTTATAGAGAAAATACATTTCATTCTATGTTAAAATTTTATCCATATTTTATTTTTATTTTGAGGAATTTACTATAAATAAATAGGTAGTCATTTCTTTGAAGTTTGAAGTGGAATCAGACGAATGGATTTTTTTTTGCGAGGACAAATGGATATCTTATCATATATGCCATGGATGATACTTTCATTCTTACGGGATTTGAATGTCAAATACACACACATTAGCAGCCATGTGGGCTCTACTTATTCAGCATGGCGGCCGTAACCAATGTTTATCAGCTTAGCCGTTGTCGTCTTCTACTACCTCCGTCCTAAATTGATTTGCAAATTTAACTTTTCTTGGTCAAACAATTTTATTTTATTCGGTTAATTAAGATTTCAAATATTAATTATATTCTAATTTGGATTGTGCAACTTTGAAGAGATTTCAATGTAGTTTCTAAATATGTAAATATTAGTTATTAAAAATTGAATTGATTATCAATAGAGAGGATTGACTTTTATTATTGGTTGACAAAAAATTGTTGACTTTGCAAAACAAACTGGGACGTAGGGAGTATATACTATCCTCCTTTTTGTTGAAAACATGTTAGAATTTTACATGCTCTATATTAACTATATTTTTATTTATTAATTTATGATAAATATTTTTTATAAAAATATTGTTCAATTCTTCTCATTACAATTTTCAAAATTTGGTTTTTTTTTTACATTTTTTACTAATTGAGAATAAGAGATATACAATTGCAATCTTGTAATTAAAAAAAAAACACGGAGGAGGTATAAATATACTACAATAATTATTGGTGTACATAAGATTTGTACACATTTGACACACTCTCCTATCTACACGAACAATTGTTTCTTTTTTCTAAATGAATTGCTTGTCTACATATGTAATTAGGGGGCATACACATTTTGTGTGTATTTTACACTCCTGTGTATACACCGACAATTGTTTTTTTTCTAAATGAAATGTCTGTGTACACAGAAAAGTATTCCAGATGTGGTCAAATTATGTGTACAAATAGAATTTTTCAACATCCTACCTCTTCTGTTTGAGATTTTGATTAGCCGTATGACTAAGAGCCCTTTTGGTACCCTATTTTATGTCTTATCAAGTTTATCAGTCAATTTTTTCACCAAACACGTAAATATTAATTTTACGCACTGAATTGTGTAAAGATGAAAAAGTAAGGTTGAAGTTACTTTTCTAGTTATATTGGCTGAAATTACAGTAGAGAACTATTTTAGCTATTTTTAATATAATATTTTCTTTATTTTATTAATGAAAAATATTTTAAATATAATTTTTTTATTAAATCAGAAGGATCAACCAATCTAATCACTTTAGAGTCAATTCAGCCAATTTAGTATTACAAAACTGGGTCTAAATTGTTTCAAACATGTCATTTTTTGAGATTTTGGCAAGTTTCTTTTTTTTTGTTCGGGAGAAGGCTCAAAATTGACATTAAGGTTATTTGAAAATCTCATATTGGACATTAAACTTTTAAGTGGACCAAATTAGTACAAACTTTAGGTTTTTGTATTATATTTGGACACTTGCTTACACTGTGCTTTCCTCCCCGTCAATTATCACCGTTACTCTCAAACCTCCGTTGAAAGTATCCCTAGATGACCGAGAAGGAAGATGAACTGGAAGCCTTCGATGCAGATGAACAGTAAACCGCCCAGGCAACTGAAGTGGTTTTCCACCTTCGACCTGCTCCACCTACCACGAACAAGTTCAGATGCTGCGCCTTGAGACGATGAGCATCAAACAACTCTCAGATTCTAGAAAAACTCCACAAATTTTGAGAATCGAATCGAAGTAAAAATTCGCCATGAACAGTAAAATCGCGGCTCATAAGACTTGTTTCTTGGGTTTTTTGGCTGTGAAATATCCTTCCAATCTCTAATTCAAGGTCAAAATTAAGATTGGTCGTAGATTCCGACTAAAATACGGAAAGAACCAAAAACGAAAACAGCAAATCCATGTTATCAAGCAAAACATCGCACTCAAAAGAGCCTAGGCGAGAACCCCAGGGAGAGAAACTCCCAACTTTAGCTTTGGCGTCAGTGGCATCACAATCACTTCTTGGAACTGTTCGAAGTATTGGATGTTTGATACAGTTGCTTTCTTGGACTCCAGGAGGGAAGATTTTTCCATGAGAGAGGGAGCTCTGGACAGGGAAAGGTGAGACGGGCTATGGAAGAAGAAGGATCTGGCCAAGATGAAGATGAAATTGCTAGCACAGCATGAGCCGTTAACTTTGGACTTAACAGAAATTGATAGTGAGTGGCCAAATATGATCCAAATAAGTTGATTTTGTGTTAATTTGGTCTACTTAAAAGCTTAGTGTCTAATTCGAACATCATAAATAACTTTGGTGTCATTTTTGAGCCTTCTCCCTTTTTGTTCCAAACACCTTACCACTTTCTCATTAAAACAAGTGTGGATATATACATACACACATACGGAGTGATACATGTGTGTGTGGGCCATAACCGTGTAATCACGGCGTCACCACCAACTCCACCTACGTCGTACGGTATCAAATCCGCCATGTCAATTATTATTCCCGCTCAACGAGCCTGACCACCTGCCCGACTCAGCTCCAGCCGAACCGGCCGATTCACTGCCGGCGTTGTTCACCACCCGCGGCCGCCTAACTCCGAGCCGTCCCCTCAGAGCGGTCCTCAGCGTTTTCCACAGACCTGTTTTCTTCCCTCCATCTTTCTTCATCGGCCGTACCCGGCCAGTGCAAGAAACCACGGGAGAACCGGGTTCAGCTCCATCTGTCACCAACCGGCCCTTGCCTCCCGGTTCGGACCGGCTCCGGAATAACACCCTCGTGGCCGCCGCCGCCTTGTTTTGCCAGAGGTTCCCGTCGGAAATGGGGAGAGCGAGGAGGGAAGACTTGTTGTGGTCGTGATGGTTCAAAGTGGAGAGCGAGCGATTAGAGAAAGGGTTGCTGTTGTGGTGGTGGTGGCAGTTTCCGGTGACGGAGAACCTTGCGAGCTTGAAGGAGGACTTACGTTGCATGGTGGCGTTCTGGTGGAACCAGTCTTGCTCTGAGTCTTTGGGGACCCAAAATGATTCAGGTGGAAAGTCAAAGATGGTCTGAGATTGAGGACCATCCTCCTCGCCGGCGGCCACGTAATTTTCATCACAGCCGGCACCAGCGGAAACGAGGGTGTTAGTTTTCATGGTGAGGAGTAGAATGAAGAAGACGATGATGGAGTTAAAATAAGACAGGAGAGGGGCCTGGGATGTGGTGGGGGAGAATTTTCAAGGGGCCGTTTTATTTGGTGTTTTCCTATTCGAAGGTGACATGCAATCAAATATTGACAGCCAAATCAGCTACTATACCTAGGTGGCTATTGTATTTATTAGTTTATTAGTACTCCCTCCGTCCCTAATAACTTTGACAAGTTTGGCCGGCACGAACATTAATAAATTAAAAAAATATGTGGTTGAGGTTTATGCAGAAGAGAGAGAAGTAACTGGAATCACAAATTCTTTACTTAAATGGAAAAGTAAGTTAATGAGACATCCAAAAAAGGAAAGTTTGCAAAGTTATAAGGGAATGAAGGAGTATTTTTTTTAATAACCGGGTCTGGGGAGGGGGCTGCGAGAACCTGGAGTAATCTGGACTGAAACTCACTTCATTCAGTTTCAAACCCGAGATTTCCCGTGAAGGAGAGCAGTGGCGGACCGAACATGGGGGCAAATGGGGCTGCTGTCCCCCCCAAATTTTATTTTTCTAGGTATATTTACCCAAAATTTTAATATATACGTATTTGTGTGTATATTTTTACCCTGCCGCCCCTCCTAGCCGGAATTCCTGTGTCCGCCGCTGAAGGAGAGTGAGTCGGCGATAAGTTGAGATTAGTATTATTAGTATAGAAACCATAATAATTATTATTATGATTATTATAACTCTCTCCATTCTATTAAGATTGTCTCATCTTTTATTTTGATGTGTTACGTTCCATTAATATTGTTTCATACCAAATTTGGTTAAGTTTGTGTGCATGGTTCTAAATCGTTATTACTTTATTCTTACTTTATTGATGAATTTCACATCAACCATTTAAATTCACGTTTCTTAATAATTGTGTCACCTGATCCTCACTATGTTCCAATATTAGTGTGAGGGGAGTAGTATTAAGTACTCTATATTATTATTGTTTGAAGTCATTTGTTGATGTTGAATCGACCGAATCTGCTGAAACTGATTAAATTCTGATGGAATTGTTGAATATGTAAATTGTGGAAAAAATAGTACTATCGTATGTAGCTAAAAGAGTCATATACAACAACTTCAGTAAATCTAGCAAGAAAAGTTTCTTCAAGTTTACTTATTTCGATTATTACATAGTTAAACGCAAGAAATTAAATAAAAAATTATTGGTAAAAAGTTGTTTGATAAAGCTGATGGGTTGAAAATATATGTTAACAAAGAGGCTCTTATTATCATTATTACTTTATTAATACGTATTTTTTTTCTGTATTATTGTTATTATTATTATTTTGAGGGCGAGTTGATCTCATATTAGGTTTACTCAACACCAATAGTGTTCCACGAAACAAAATTAAACACGTAAGCTCGAGTTTGACGGAAGCGTATATGGTACCACCGGTTGTACGGTGTTCACCGTACAGCCGGTGGCATTTTTGTAATTTATTTGAAATTCGCGTCTCGTATTAAATGAGTATTAAACCACACATAGTGAGCAAGTGACATATTTTGTTGAGCATTAGAAGCATAACATTGAGCATCATGATCTCTGCTTCATCTCTTCGAATTTACTTTCTTTTCCTTATTTTTTTCTTTATAAAAACTTATTAAATTATATCTATAATCAACTCTTATGAACTCCATTATGTGAATTTAATGCAATATGATACTTTGGAAATATACATTGGTATGTTATATTACAAATGAGCATAACATGAATACCCGTTGAGCATACATAACTTATAAAATGAGAATTGATATGAAAATCATAAGTACTTTTAATTGAACATCAAGACATTTTTATTAAGCATCAACTTGAAAAGTATGACCAATGATTTTCATTATGCGATTGTGATGAGCATCGAGTCTGTTCTTTTTAAATGAGCATAAAATAACACCAAATGAGCATATGTAACTTACAAGATGAGTATAAAAAAATTTAAAAGTCCATTTGTGTATGCTCATTCATTTTGGCCTTATACTCATTTGAGTTTAACATTAGTATGGTACGTTTGAAATGAGTATAAAGAGGTACCAAATGAGCATACATAATTCACAAAATGAGTATAAAAATTTCAAAAGATCATTTGTGTATGATCATTCATTTTCGGTTGTATACTCATTGGAGTTTTACGTGAAACTCATTTTTAATATGCTCGATATTCATTTGTGTATGTTCATTCTTTTTAAGCTTATACTCGATCATTTGTGTTTAATATAAACTCATTTCAGATTCGTCAACAAGAAATATGAACTCAGTAGGCCTTCATCGGATGTCGAAACAAGCACTGGCCTGGAGCTTGTTATTTATCGTACTTAAACAAAGTAAACCATGACTAACAATCGTCCTAGCAATTTCTTCATCTGATGTCTATCTGCAATTTCTATTGCAAAGGAGGCAACTAAATTAGGAACCCCAAATCCCTATCTCCTTATCTGTTTCAACCCCAAAGCCATAGTCATCGATTGACTCAATCCCAAAACTCCGAAGGTCTAGCAGGGAGAGGTGGCCGCCGGGGATCTAGCAGGTAGCAGCGATGGCCGACGAAGCCTGGGACGAGCTACACGAGGACTCAAGCCTGCGTACAGAGGATACGAATGTCTTCGATCTTAACCCTGCAAGTTGAATTTAATTTCAAAAATACCCGGCTGTACGGTGCTCACCGTACAGCCGGTTGTACGGTGTAATTTAAGGAGTTTGACCTGTCCCGCCAATTCACTAATGGTCGAACTCATCATATGCTTATGTGATGAATGAGCTAAGTCAATGAATGAGTCAAACTCAAGCTATGCTTGATAGTTGAGTTGAGCCAAAATAGCATGAATCAAAATAGAACTCAGAATTATAATCGGGACGTAAGAGAGTAATATCTATGGACCATACTTATGGAACGCTACTGTTATTGAACAACTTAAGTTCGAATTGATTAAAATCGAGCTTACTTGGCCCGACTTTATCTCGTTTATTAATTTATTATATGAAAAAATAAATCGAGTTACGAGCAGCCAGTTAATTTAATTGATAGTCGAATTTAGCTGATCCAACTCTTCGGATGTTTTCTTTTGGACTGTTTTCAATCCCAGATCAGACCAGACCAGACCAGATCAAACCAGACCAGTAAATTTCAGTCCAAAAGGAAACATCCTTCCTACAAATGAGACAAAGGCACATAATTGGGGATTTGTTTCTTCACTACTATAAACATTGTACAACTACTTGTTCTTTTAAGTCTCAATCTCGAACTTCAAATGATGCAAGTATTATCTCTATTTTTTATTTCAAAACATTAACAAGCAGAGCTTTGGTTTCCTCGAAATAGCTATAAATTGAACTCGAATACAATAATGGAGTTTGGTTCTGTTAAAAAATAATACTAGTACTAGTTCTTGCTTCTTAATTTAGAAATTGCAAAATTAAAACTAAAAACATTGCATCTACATTGATTTTGCAATTTGCATCCATTGATTGATTTTCTATTTGTTAATCAACGGCTACCCTTTGGTATCAACTCCCTGCAGGAGGTTCAATTCCCTAGACACCACATGTACTAATCAGTAATTTTGCAGATACGTTTTTGGCTTCTTTCGTACTCGTATGACACAAAAACGTAGTTTTTGGAACTCAATTTTATACTTCGTACTTGGCAGATAAGTTTTTGGCTTCTGTATTCATAGTTCCTAGTTCCAAAAGGTTGAATCGCCAACCCCAAGCGCCCGCCACGCCCCGACCCGACAGAGCACATGGGAGGATGTAAGTCACGGTGACTCAGTCAGCAGAGTGGCAGTAGGTCTTTACCCCGTGCGCACCAGAGGCCCAGCCTTATTTCAGGTTCTGTGACCTCCACCCGGTCGCTGCGGGGATTCGAACCTTGGTCATAGTTCCAATTTTCCCACCACTCGACCAGCTGAGCTACCCGTGCGGGTAATTTGGCTTCTGTATTCAGAAAGATGCAAATGAGTGTTGGTATTGTACGACGTGGCTTTATTGCTTCATACGGAGAAATTAATTGAAACGCATTGAAAAGATTGGAAATTGGAATGAAGAACAAGATATTTTAAAAATTAATAATGTGGAAAAATGGACTATTGCAAACATAGCATGTGCACATAAATACATGACCGGAAATGCATGCATATGTAAATGCGAAATTCGTTAAAGTTAGAAACTAAATACCTATCCTCACTATATAGTTCATGTGTAATGTTCACTCTAGGTACGTCTCTAGCCGCCTCTAGCCTGAAATTGACTAGCATGTTTTTTTCCATTCATTCATTCGTCCTTGACCGGTAATTGACTAGCATGTAATTAACAGTTGTTTTTTCCATTAGTTAATTACATTAGTGTTAGCAAATTCATATTTTTAGAAATTAACTATAACAGCAAGTACTCCCCTCGCCTCCTACAATTGTCTCATGTTTTTTTATTTTTGAATGCCTCCTATTATTGTCTCATGTCATATTTGGTAACATTTGTGTGACTTTAACACATTCTTAATTTATTTAAAAATTCTATTTTTTTTAAACCCCACAACTCTGATTAATCAATGACGTTGTCATTGTCATTAGCAGATACTGTAATAGTTTTAGAGGATATTGCAGAGAAAAAAAAACAGAAAAGTTGCTTAACCAAATTACCTATTAATATGGGTTGTTACAAATTGAAAATGAGTAAATGACAAAGTCGTACAAATTGTCAATCAGCAAAAGAAATACCCCGTATGAAAAAGTAATAAATTTATTTTTTGTTTTATGACTGTTAATATAATTTATTTATTTATTTATTTATTTATTTATTTATTTATTTATTTATTTATTTATTTATTTATTTATTTATTTATTTATTTATTTATTTATTTATTTATTTATTTATTTATTTATTTATTTATTTATTTATTTATTTATTTATTTATTTATTTATTTATTTATTTATTTATTTATTTATTTATTTATTTATTTATTTATTTATTTATTTATTTATTTATTTATTTATTTATTTATTTATTTATTTA